TGCAAGGTAATAAATAGAAGAGCGAAGATTGGAACCCAGGTCCTCTGACTCCAAATCCAGCACATTCTACCACGCTGTATTTCCTCCTCATATGACTTCACATCATTCACATTTTTATTTAAAAGTTAATAGTTTAGGGGGCAGGTGAGGGGGGCAGTGGATAGAGCATGGGCCCTGGAGTCAGGAGGACCTGAGTTCGAATCTGGCCTCATACATTTGACGTTTGCTAGCTGTGTGACCCTGGGCAAGTCACTTAACCTCATTGCCCAGCCCCCCCCCCAAAAAAGGTAATGGTTTAAATTGTATTTAAAAGTTAATAACTATGTTCTTGTTCCTTTTCTCTTCTTCCTTCCTCCCTCTCTTTTTTATTCCTTCCTTTTTTTTTGTAAATGAGATGATAATACATCCCCAGCACTTAGCACAGTGCCCAGCCCACAGTAGGTGCTTAAAACTGTTTACTGACCGACTTATAGTAAACTAAAAATTAATGGAAATAACTTTGAAGAAGTTATAGGATGTAAGAAAAATCCACATAAAAGATCAGCATTCGTACATAAAACCAATAAAACCCAACAAGAAGAGTCAGAAAGGTAAATTCTGTTAAAAAAAAAAACTACAGAAGCTGTGAATTTGGGTATGTATCAAGATTCACCCAGAGACTATATGAAATTAACTGTAAAACACTATGCAGAAATAAAGGCATATCTAAGTAATTGGAGAAACATTATTTGTTCATGGGTAGGTCAAACCAATATAATAAAAATGAAAACACTATCTAAATTAATTTACTTAGACTTATTTAGTGCTGTGCCAAATGCCCAAATGAATATTTCACAGATCTAAAAAAATAATAACAACATCCACATATAGGAACAAAAGACCAAGAATATCAAGAGTAGTAATGAAAAAAAATGGGAAGGAAGTCAGTCTATCAGCACCAGATTTCAAACTGAACTCCAAAGCAGTAGTGACTAAAATGATTTGGTACTGGGAGAGAGAGAGAGAGAGAGAGAGAGAGAGAGAGAGAAAGACGGGGGGAGGGAGGGAGAGAAAGATCAGTGTAACAGATTAGCTATACAAAATACAAAATACAGTAGCATAGAATGTGATAAACCCAAAGATCCCAGTTCCTGGACAAAAGATTCATTATTTGACCAAAAGGGCTGGGAAAACTGAACAGCAGTCTAGCAGAAATTAGATTTAAACAAAAACCTCACATCATATTCCAAGATAGCTCCAAATAAATACATAGTCTAGATATAAAAAGTCACATCATAAACAAATTAGAAGAGCAAGGAAGAAATTACCTTTCAGATCTATGGAGAGGGGAAGATTTTGTAACTAAATAAATCATATCAAGGCTCTCAAAAGATGAAATGGACAGTTTTCTTGTACACAATTTAAAAAGGTTTTGAACAAACACATCTAATGTAGTAAAAAAAAAAAAAGCAGGAGGGATACAGGCAATAGGTATAAAATCGTTGCGACAAGCATCTCGGAATTAAAAGATATATAAGAAATTGATTCAGATACATGAGACTAAGAGCCATTCCCCAAGCAGATAAATGGTCAAAGGAGGCAAATAGGCAGCTTCCAAAGGAGGAAATTCAAGTTGTCAACAATAATATGAAAAAAATGCTCTAGATTACTAAAAATTAAAAAAATGCAAGGGACTGAAACTATGACAAAAGAGGAAAATGACAAATGCTGGAGATGCTATGGGAAACAAGTACACTAGAGCACTGTGGGCAGGTTTGTGAATTGACCTACTAATTCTGGAAAGCAATTTGAAACTATGCCCAGAAAATTACCAAACTGTGCATATGCTTTGTCCCAGCAATAACTTCTCCTAGGCTTCTACCCACCAAAGAAATGTTTAAAATAAAAGAAGAAAATGGTCTATATGTAGAAAAATATTTAGAATAGTTCTTTTTGTAGTAACCAAAAATTTGAAATAAAAGGGCTAACTATCCTTCTATTGAGGAATAACTAAAAAATCTTAGTATATAAATGTAACAGAATATTAGTATGCCATTAAATGATAAAATGGACAATATCAATAGAAATGAGGAAGATCTTTATGAATTGATGCAGAGAAAATTGAGCAGAACTAGGATAACAATAACAACATTAGAGATAAAAACAGTTTTGAAAGACTTCAGAACTCTGATCAACTCAATGATAAATAAGTCCGAAAGAATGAAGATAAAGCACATTACTCGCTTCCTGGCAGAGAGGTGTTGAACCTGAGATGAAGTAAGAGATATACCTTTTCAGACTTGGCTAATGCAAGAATTTGTTTTGCTGTACTATGCAGATACACATAATGGGAGGAAGTGGCAGGGATGTATTAATAAAAACGTTATTTGAAAAATAAAAAGTAATCAAAGTTTTTTTTTAAGTTAATAGAAACACTATGTCTGGAATTGGCACCTAGATTGCTACTCACCAGTGAGCACTTTCCCCTCCCTCAGACCTGTATGGCAGCAGTGACACAGTTCTGATCTCAGTAGGGGAACTCAATGAGACTGTCTGGGTCAGCTCCTCCAAATAAGTCTTCTCCATGGGCCAGTGCCTCATTTAAGCTACCTTGCTTGCCTTTGTCTTTCACCTTCAGTCTCAGATCTCAGCTATTGATCATTTCAACCCACCATCCCTGAACTCAAACCTCCAGTAGATGTCACTTGTTCTCCTAACTAGGGAACTAGTTCTTCAACTATTCTCCTAAATGGTAAGAAATCTATAACTGTGATTAAAGCCCACAAACAATTCCCTTATTAGTGCTTCTTTTGCCAGGACCCACAACTTCAGGTTTCACACACATACAAGAGTTCTTTAGGGAACAGTAGGAACACTCTTCTTGCTCTTCACAGACGTTCATGATGGCTTATTACTATTTGCATCCTCTCTCTGCCAGTATGTAAATAGTCCATCATCTGCTTGAGTCAGCTCTTTCCTCCATGCCCAGACACTCCTCCCCAGTGCTCCTCAATCCTATGCTCTCCCCTGTGGCAACTAAACCAGGTTGTTCAATTACCACAGCAATGCAGGCCAAAGAAACTTAGTAAAGGGATGGGGAAAGAGCAAATGAAACTGGCTCTTCTCAGTGCTATCCATACCTGGAAAAGAGAGATTTATGATCCCTGAAACACATTAATTTCTGGAACTCATTTATTGCATTTAAAATACAGCCACACTTGGAACTGGGGGATCAAAGGATCATAGAAGTAAACCCAGAAGGAAATTTAGAGATTGTTTAATTCAGACATCCACCACCACCACCACCGTTTTACAGAATAAAGAAAGTAGGGCCCAAAGAGGCTGTGACTTTCCCTGGGTCACACTGCTAGTAAATATGAGAGGTA